TGCCAAACAGCCCCTAAGTGTCTCACGGAAAGGTCAGGTAGATGCCTTGATATACAATTTCGATTCTGAGTGACTTTGATGTCAAATTTTGGTAAAGTGAACGTCTAGTTTATATATATATATATATATATATATATATATATATATATATATATATATATTGTTTTTTCAAATAAAATGCATCTCAACCACATAATATTATTATTCTTATTTATTTCATTTGTGCAAGTTCAGTTGTTCATGTTTCCTTTTTACTAACATTCATAATTAGTTGTCAAATAACTATGCTTAAAAAAAATAAAGAACTATAAAAACAAACAAACACACAATAGTGAACTTTACTCAAAGTATTTGGTTACACACATGATGAAATAACAAACATGTTTTGTCAATTATCTTGACCGGGGATTATTATTATTATTATTATTATTATTATTATTATTATTATTATTATTATTATTATTATTATTATTATTATTATTATTATTATTATTATATGTTACAACAACAACAAACCCAGTAATGGAGGCTCCAAATATATATTAGAGTAAATGATACTTCGTACAACAACAAACCGAGTAAAATAAAATGCCACACAATAGTAGTAGTAGTAGTGTGTGATGAAACTTCAGAGAGTGGTGAGATCCACCAGTTGCACTGGGTGCCTGACCAATTGAAGTAGCCAAGTTGAGCCTCACATTTTGGATGCAGGAGAGCTTTCCTTCAATGCCACCCTCCCCAACTCTGCACCATTAAATTGGGGCATGTAAGAACAAAATCGGCTCGTCAAAACTCCTTAAAAGTTGTTTTTAACTTGTAAGTCAGTTGATGACGTGTTTCTCTGTGTGTATAAGCTCACTTATAAGCGGCATATAAGTCAAAACAAACAAGTGAGTTTTGCCAGAAAATTACTCGCGGGTGACGCGAGTTTTGTCGAAATAACTTTCAGGTCCCTCTATTTTCAAAAAGACAACCGAGGTCCTTATATTTTGTTGTAATGAATGGGAGGGGACATTTCATCCAATACATCATCCGTAAGTGTTAATAAATGTATTTTTTCCTATTTTTCCCGGTTTTTTCCTATTTTGCCATTACCTTGTTTTTTCTTTTTTTAAAATTTTTTTATTTCATTTGTTTTAATATAATACAAACAATTTTGAATTTTTATACGATTTTATAGAAGAAATTCTAAAATAACACTTTAAAAAATAGTAACAAAATGAAAGAAAAACAAAGAAATAAAAAAAAGAGCGACCTAAGATTTATTACCTTAAAACATTTAGAAAAGAATAGGAAAAAAATACATTTATTAACGTTTATAGATGAAATATTGGATGAAATGTCCCCTTCCAGTCATTACAACAAAATGTAAGGACCTCTGATGTCTTTTTGAAAATAGAGGGACCTGAGAGTTATTTCAACAAAACTCGCGTCACCCGTGAGTAATTTTCTGGGGTTTTGCCTACTTATTTTTAATGGGTGAATAGTTATAACTTTGCACCCTTAGAGAGCAAAAATCAATGGGTGCACCCTCAAAAATATTACAAGAACCGCACCAATATAATTCCATGCAAAACTAAAATAGCTTTGAACAAGTTGAAAAGCATTTTCATCAGAGCAGCTTCTTTTGAGTGCTTTAATTTTTGAGTGTTTCAATTTTTTTGAGGTTGCACTTGATCCACTATTAATTATTCCCTTACCATACGGGGCGGCATTTAAATGAATTTCTTAAATAAATTAAACAAAATAATGTCTAAAAGATAATGATAGTGCCATTTATCTTCCTATAAACGATTTGAGCCAAAAAAAAAATCAACAGCTTTTGCCATATTTCGTTACCCTAAAGCTGAAGAGAGAAGAGAAGGGCAGTACCTGCAGTCATCCACCGAAGAGGCTCAATGAAGAGCGATGAACACTCATTGTCGTCTCCTTTGTCGAAAGGAACGCCGTTTCTGGTTTTAGAGGATGCGAAAGCCGGTTCACCCTCACCAGGAACATGATCAACAACATTGTCTTGCACTGCAACTATCCTCTGGCATTTCTTGCAGCGGTATGCTTGAATAGGAATGGCAGGTTTCACACTCGAGGACTGCTGCTCATCATCATCATCAGCAACAAACGAGGCGAGCTTCTGCAAAGCAGGATCTTCTGCAAACTTGGATGCATCTATTTCTCCACAATTATAGCTCTCACCTGGATGCATTGTGTGAGTGAAACAGGATTATATAGGGTAATTTCTATTGGGCTAAAAGCAGAAGAATTTAGTTTTAATTTTTAGCCAAAGAGTGCTGAACTAATCTTAAATGGTAATAAGTTGAAAAGTACAGGTTCGTTTGAGGAATGGAACGATTCCTCATATGGTATTCCATATTTCACTTCAATCTACTACAAAAGAGGGAGTATGGATATGTGATTGATGAATAAGTTAAGGATTTATACCTAGTTTCCTTAAGTGAAAACGTTTGTATACGGAACTGGCACGATTAACCTTAAAGCCCATTGCTTCGAACATTTTTAACTGAAGCCACACGAAGAAAATAATATTCACAGCTTAATGCATGATAAGCTGAGAATGTACATATATAACACAATTGAGATGCCAGCTCATAAAACAATTTGAAATGTCTGTATCACCTGATCTACGAAACCATCATTGGGGCAGACAGACTCACAGCTTTGGGATAACGATTCAAATGCGTCTTCAGAATCATGACATGCAGGAGAAAGGAAGAGAAATGAAGTTAGGCGCAGACTGGGTGAATGCAAATAATAGACACAAATGATGGGCAAATGGTCTTCACTTTAAACGAAGATCATAAATAAGGCGTGAAACAAGCCACTATAAGAACGATATGACTGGAAAATAAAATATTCTAAGAATTAGTGAAAGTTGTATTCTTAATTTTCATCCCCTGAATGGGTTGGCTAAAAGTGCAGTTTTCCTTTTATAATACCTTTATATGATAGCTGCTCAGACCTCATCAAGTATGCTGTAACCACAGCTGCACTATAGAAAATGTAAAGAAGAAAGTCTCAACTAGGAATGCTTATGGGGAAAAAACAAGAGTGGGAAGAGAAGAAAACATCAACAAATCTGGCATTCAATTAGTGAAGAATAGGCACATTTGGAAAATGCAAACTCTGATTTCGCCATTCCACTTTTTGTAACCAAAGGCCAACCATGATGAGTGAAACTACACAAATTCCTCCAAATAAGTTTCGGTCATTTCTTCCATTTAAGAAGCCATACCAGCATAACGTATTTCTATACAGAAGAATTTTAATAAGAAGTCATAGCAGCATAACTTGTATAACGTATTATTATCAACAAACAAGAACAACAAAGCCTGAGCCACGTATTTAGAATAAACAGCGGGCTCGGCTCTTCTTGATATGACAGACCAAAGTCATATAACTCAGCAGTAAATACAACTCGAACAAATAACCAGACATTGGTTTTAGAGAGTACGTAACTACCTTCTTGAGGCACCGGCAAAACAATGCACCAGCACACCCCCCTTTTTTCTACTTTCTTCAATGAAATCCAAACACACTTCCAAATTATCCAGCAAGTTCTCACTCTCCACATCCCTTAGAGCTACTGCCATCCTCACAAACTTCAGATCCTTCCCAACATGCTCCAACAAGTACATAAGCTTCTGGTTTGATACAGCAGTGGCATTTCCCTCGGATCCATTACCACCAAAATACACCTTACGAATCTCCTGGGCCGGGATCGCTGGCTCAGTGCGCCATAAAAATGAAAATGAAGCAGAGCTGTTAACTGATAGTATGTGCGTAATCCGCTCGCTGCCTTGCAGGAGAATCTCTGCAGCATCTCTCGTGTTCCCGATTAACAGATTCTCACGAACGTGATAAGGCATGTTTCGCAATCTGAGCCGAGAATTAAATCTACCTATTTATTAGAGAGCGGCATTGAAACAAAAATACTAACATTCATCTTAATTCTAAAGTTCTTCACATTAGGAGGTGAACTTTTAAGAACATAAACACAGTATTTCTCTTATGCAGTAATTAAACTCTGATAAGAACTTTTCAGCTGAGGATTAAGCTGATTAGTTACTATTCGAAAACAACAGATTTGATCTAAGCGGAGCAATGATCGTAATTAGCAGTGTTTACCAGATTTCATGTATTGAAATTGCTTGTTAATTATACGGAGTATATGTAAAGGAATGAAATTAAAATGAATCAAACATCAACACATTGATTCCGATGAGAAGAAGAAATAGGGCCGGAAGAGGGGAAGAAGAATATTCCGGCGGGTAGCTGCGTTCGTCACCGGCACGCCTTCAACCTTTTTGGGGGGCTTCTAAGTAGGGAGATGTTATAAGTAGGGCTTATAAATTGGTACATTAATAACAAATAATAATTATATATTAAAAATTTACGCTCAAAGTTCTACAAAACGAGAGTTGAGTTTATAAGAATATTTTATTTTATCAAATATTCAATACACAAATAAACAAAAATTATCAAGAGGAGAAAAAAATTATAATCTAATTCGGGACGGAGGAATATGAACTTGAGCAATGAGAGAGTCTATCAAAAATATAATAAAAAATAAAAGAGATACTTTCTCTATCTAAAAGAATTACATTTTAGTTTTTGGTCAAATATTATAAACTTTGACTATAAATTATAATATAATATACTCGTATTTAGTTACTTCCTTCGTTCAAAAATGATATTTTCAAATCATATTTTTGGTCATCCAAAAATAATCTTCCAATAATCTTTTTTACGGAATAATATTTTAGAATACCACAACTACATTCAGTCTTTTTTTAATACATCATACCCACCTCATCTAGCATTCTAGCGTGAAAATTCAATTTGGAAAGTTTTTTCCCGGATGCATGGAGCATAATGTAGATATAATTTGATTCATCTTAAAATATAATTTTGATATGTTAAAATTTTATAATGACGAACTTTAATCATGAATACTCTTAATTTTCATTGCATATCAATATAAGAAACTTACATTTTGGAAATTCTTAACAAGATAAATTTAATAAAATCATTTTTATACTTACTTTACAATTGTGTTTAATTGAAACCTTAAGTTCATTCAGTTTGACTCAAACAGTCAAACTAGAAGAATACATTGGGACGAAGATAGTAATGTTTATTTACATAAACTTGCACTCCGCAATTATTAACGGTCAAAATATCGCATTGATGATCGTGAAAAATCAAATATAAAGATCTTTTTAGAAACGAGGGAGTATATATCTTGCTTTATTCCGATAAATTTCATGAATGGTATATGAAGTTTTAGGCTTTTAGCATTACTTCACATCGGTACATTAACTTTAAATTTTATCCCAAATATATTTATGGCGTCATCCCGGTTACGTATTTCCTCCTCTATATGGCGAAGCTAAAATGTTTAACAAACGGTTGGAAGGAAGAACGATGAAGATGTGTATTAAGCGCTGGGTAATTGACTTGCATCTTTCAACCTCAGCCTTAGCCTCGTCTCGAACCACATTTCTTCCTGGGACAACGACATGAGCCGGGGGTCCCTTCTCTTCTTACACTCCCTCTTGGATTGGTCGTTCATTCTCTTCTCTCCCCGATCCTTCTTGTGGTGTTTGGGGGAGGAAGATTTGCCCTTTTTTCCCTCCGGTAGAGGGGGGTCTCGTCCTCTTAAGAGAAAACCTCGACCCGAGGCTGATGGGCTGTCGTCCAGGCGTAAGAGTCGACGTTCTCCTGCCAAACAAGAATGGAAGCAGGCTGGGACACACCTAGGCCGGTCTGGTCTCCAATCCAGCCATCTTTTTGGGTCTCTTTTATCTTATGAAAAGACAGCATATGCCAAAATGAATTGGGACATAGAGGGGATCAAGTAGTAGTTTTTGTTGTAGTTGTTCCATGCTTGGATGTAAAGAAGGTATAAATCAACTTATTAATTAAGCTAGTTGGCAATAGAACATATATTTTGCAGTACTTTAAATTCCCTTTTCAAAATTCATTGGTTGGAGAGAGCCAAAGGTTCTTTAAAGGGGAGATCAGATATGTACAAGCTTTATGCGCATGATGGTAGATTCAGAACAACATCTCATGTGCAAAGAGTTAAAACTTATTAACTTTTGTTTTGCTGATGAATTGGTTGTAGTCTGAGGAGTGATGAGAACTCTATAGTCAGGATCCTGTTAATTCTACCAAACAACAAGATTATATATCAACCAAGAAAAGTCTCAGATTATTATCGGAGTGAATTCTGAAAAGGAACAGAAGGTTTTGGGGATGACCAATATGTCCAGAGGCAATGTAACCTTCCTCCTTTCGGCTCTCTTGGTAGCCCAATTACATCTGCAAGACTCAGTGAAACAGATTGTGAGAAGTTGATTGAGAAGCTAGCTACTAAGATCACCTCATGGAACACAAGGAATTTGTCTCTTATGCAAGAAGCATTAGGCTTGTCTACCTCTGCAGCAGGGCGATGCCTATCTCACATGTGATGAAATTTCACAAAGTGCTGAGGTCCACCCGGCTTTTGTGGAGCTGAAAGGCAGGGGTGATCCAACTTCCGCAATTGCACTGAATGCCTGACCAATTGAAGTAGCCAAGTCGAGCCTTGCAATGGATGCAGGAGAGCTTTCCTTCCAGAGCACCCTCTCCAACTGTGCACCATAACGATGTGGCATGTAAGAACAAAAAAATGGCTCTCACAAAATCTAACTACACACTTGGGTAATTCACGCTTCAAGAAGGGGAATAATTATCACTTTGCACCCTCAGAGAGCAAAAATGAATAAACTAATATTATCACTTTGCACCCTCAAAAATATTAAACACTTCAAAGCGCACATTTTCACGTTCGTCAGTCTAATTTCATGCAAAGCTTAAACAGCTTCGATCAAGTTGAGGAGTATTTATGACTGAGCAGCCTCTTTTCCTTCCAAAATTGGAATCTTGCTGCTCTGTAAAAATCTCCAGCTAGACTCAACTCTTTTGTTATAGTGGAAATACACAACTAATTTTGGTTGAGGTTTTGGAAGAAAAAGGGCTGCTCAAGAAAATACACATCGAACTGACCAGAGCTTTTAATTTTTGAAGAAAATTAGTTTGAATATGCATTGAGGGTGCACTTTGGAGTGCTTTAGTATTTTTGATGGTTCATATTGGAGTATCATAATATTTTTGAGTTTGAGTGTTCACTTTAGAGTGCTAATGTACTATCTTTGGGAGTGCACTTTTTAATAATTTCTTTTTGAGGGTGTTAATCCACTTATTAATTATTCCCTTTTAAGGGTGCAAAGTGAAAATAACCCAACATGCTCTCTACTTCTCAACATTTTTTATTAAACTCCATGAACTCAAACCATGAATTTAATTCGAGGGCAGAGAGAGTAATATTTACTCCCTCCGTCCCAAAATGAAGCTTACAGTGTCTTTGCAGAGTTCAAGAAAAGTGTTGAAAGGTAAAAGGTATGTGATTGAAACTTATTCAAAAGAAAGAGGAATTATAAGAGACGCATTCGTTTCCTAAAAGGGAAAGTGAAAAGTGTGAACTTCATTTTGAGACATCCAAAAAAGGAAAGTATAAACAACATTTTGGGACATATGGAGTATTAGGCTGATTTTGGCTGATGAAGAAGACAATAACTGAAAGGGATGGACTTGAACAATGATGGAATCCAGGTCTCCTACTATTTATTTACTTTTTTGAACGCCATGTTTATTCTTTCATGAATCATGAGATATAAAATGCATGATGCAGAAGATCATGAGCCCATTTGGTAGAGGCAAGTTTCACGGAATGTGCTAAGGCTCCGAAACGTAAATTATTTGGCTTATTCTGTTTGCAAATTATATATCACCAAAACAAGCATATTAGCGAAAATACCCCTTACCAAACTGGCTGTATTCAAAATGAACTTTTATGTGATGATACTTGATAGCGTCATACTGTCATTTATCTTCCTTTGAACCATTTGAGAGAAAAAATCAATAACTTCTGCCATACTTCCTTTAATCATTAGCCTTTAACCATATTAACAAAAGAGCAATAGCTTCGGCCAAACTTTCTTTTATTACTCATATTAGCCAATTCAAATAAAGCTAGTTTTGGTAGACAATGCGGGTGATAAACTAAAGATGAAGAGAGAAGAAAAGGGCAGCACCTGTTGTCATCCACTGAAGAGGCTCAATAAAGAGGGATGAACACTCATTGTCGTCTCCTTTGTCAAAAGGAAAGCCATTTCTCCTTTTAGACCATGCAAAAGCCGATTCACCCTCTCCAGGAACATGATCAACAACATTGTCTTGCAGTGCAACTATCCTCCTACATTTCTTGCAGCGGTATGCTTGAGTAGGAATGGCAGCTTTCATACTCGAGGACTTCTGCTCATCATCAACAAATGAGGTGATCTTTTGTGTTCTTGGTGGCAAAGCAGGATCTTCTGCAAACTTGGATGCATCTATTGTTTCTCCACAATTATAGCTCTCACCTGGATATATCATATATATATATATATATATATATATATATATATATATAAACTGTACCATGTCAATCTGCCCCGCTCCTGTTTTCTCTCTCCCAATTAACAAGTACTACTACCTCCTCACCGCTTCCAAAAAAAGTTAAATTTCACTAATGTACAATTTTTAATTATTTATTATAAGAAAAAAGAGAGAGGACAATAAACATTTTTTATCATAACAAGGCATAACTATAATGTGTATGCGTGTGGCGGCCACATGTGTGTCGCAAATTATATTCCTCTTTACAAAAAAGGACTCTTTGTTAGGAACGGGAGTACAGAACGGGATTATGTAGGGTCTCTTATTTTGAACTGAAAGATAAATAATTTAGTTTTGATTACTAGCTAAAGAGTGCTGAACTAAAACCTGAGTGGGAATAAGTTGAAAAGTACAGGTTCATTTCAGCAATGTCATGATTTCTCATATGTTATTCCATATTCACTTTCAACAACTAACAAAGAGGGCTATGTTTTGTGACGTCTAAGTTTTAGATGTATACATTTAAAATAATAATAATAATAGTAATAATAATAAACACAGATACATAATGAAAAATGTCATGAAGATCGAGATTGAAAACACAGTAACAAGAGCTAAAAGCAACTAGTGTGTTTAATAACATGCATACTAGACATTGACAGAAGAAAATCATAAATATCTACATACTTCCTCCGTCCCGCAAAGATCTTCTCTATTCCTTTTGGGGATGTCCCAAAATCAACTTCCAACTTTTCTCATTTTCATTAAATGAAATGAATATGTGACTCAAAAAATCTATCTTCTACACACTATTTACCACACTTTTCACGTTTCAACATTTTTTAAACTCCGTGAAGTCAAAGAAAGAAGATCTTTGAGGGCCGGAGGGAGTATAAATATGTGGAAAGACGAATATGGTAAGGAACTGGACCTAATTTTTTTAAGTGAAACCGTTTGTATATGGAACTGGCATGATTAACCTTGAAGCCCATTTCTTCAAACATTTTCAACTGAAGGCACACGAAGAAAATATATTCTCAACTTAGCGCTGAGAAACTGGGCACGTACATAAGGCAATCGAGATGCCAGCTCATAAAACAATTTGAAATGTCTGTATCACCTGATCTACAAAACCATCATTGGGGCAAATAGAATCGCAGCTTTGAGATAACGATTCAATTGCATCTTCAGAATCACAACATGCAGGAGAAAGGAAGAGAAATGAAGTTAGGGGAAGACTGGGTGTTTGGAAATAATAAACACAAATGATGCTCAAATCGTCTTCACTAAAATAGAAGGTCATAAATAAGGCGTGAAACAAACCACTAAAAGAATGATACAACTGAAAAATAATTATTCTAAGGATTAAGGAAAGTTAAAAAAAAAGAAAGAAAAAGGAAGGCTTATTCCATTGCACAATATCAAACAATGGGGTGGGGGGCTAAAAGTGCAGTTTTCCCTTTATAATACCTTTATATGATAGCTGCTCAGACCTCATTAAGTATGCTGTAACCATGGCTGCACTATAGAAGATGGAAGAAGAATGTGAATCCATAGGATTATATGCATGTTGCAAGAGAGGATGTCTTAATTGGAAATGCTAATGGGAAAACAAGAGAATGGGAAGAGAAGAAAACATCAACAAATTTGGCATGCAATTAGTGAATAGGCACATTTGGAAAATGCAAACTCTGATTGATACATGAATATCTCATCATCCTCAGTTAAAAAAACCAGAGTGCACCCTTCTGCAGTTCCACTTTTTGTGACCAAGGAGTTAAAGTGCCAACCATGATGAGTAAAACTACACAAATTCTTCCAAATAAAGAAATTTCGAAGAATTACCAAAAATACATTAACCCTTTCTTCCATTTAAGAAGTCATACCAGCATGATTTGTATAACATATTTGTATACAAATATAATCAATAACCCCATCTAAAAGCAGAAATATATACAAACAAGCAGACCTATCTAACTATGGTAGCATATTGTTAAAATAATATTAAGGAATAAGGATCTTAGCATTTTATTTGTAATGTGAGAGGTTGTTTTCCCTGTGATCTAATACACCAAGACAAACAATTTTGAACCTCATTAAGAAACAAACAATCGTCACACTGTCAGTGAGTGAACTAATAAGATCCCTATCTTTAAAAGAAATAATTAACATATCACAAAACAAACATCGGGACTTGTGGTTTTAGGAAAACTTTGCACAGCCTGAGAATTGAGTTTGTTGCACTATAATAACAATAACGACAAGGATCTTTTGACCTTGGCCTCGGGTGACCTTAAATGACCTTGTCATTTTGGGCACCTACGGTGCTCCGTTGGTAAAATTGATGGTCCCCCCCGCACCCCCTGCTCAATCGGCGATCTGGGGGGGAGGCAGCGGGTGCTGGGATAGGGGTGCAGGGGGGTGCGGGAGGGGGGTAAGGGGGATAGGAACCATCAATTTTACCAACGGAGCACTGTAGAGGCCACGGGTCATAATATGACCATGAATTCCAAGGTCAAAAGAACCGTTGTCAAATAATAATAATAATAATAATAATAATAATAATACTCCGTAATAATAATAATAATAATAATACTCCGTAATAATAATAATAATAATAATTCTCTGTACTATTAATTTATTATTATTACTATTATCGTCATCATCATTATCATGATTATCAACAAAGCCTGAGCTTTGTCTATAGAATTACCAGTGGGCTCTTCAGTGATCAGAAGAAAAAAAAGTGGGCTCTTGTTGATAGAGCAAAGGTATATAACTTAAACCATAACCAGACATTGGTTTTAAACAATACCTTCTTGAGACACCAGCAAAACAATGCACTAGCACACACCCTTTTTTTCTACCTTCTTCAATGAAATCCAAACACACTTCCAAATAATCCAGCAAATTCTCACTCTCCATATCCCTTAAAGCGACTGCCATCCTCACAAACTTTAGATCCTTCCCAGCATACTCCAATGAGTATAGAAGCTTCTGGTGTGATAGAGAAGTGCTAGACTCAGCAGTGACATTTCCCTCTGATCCATTACCTCCAAAATACACCTTACGAATCTCCTGGGCCGGGATCATGATATCATTACGCCATTCAGTGAAAAATGAAACTGAAGCAGAACTAAGAACTGATAGTATGTGTGTAATCTGTTCACTGCCTTGCCGAAGAATCTCAGCAGCATCACTGATGTTCCCAATTAACAGATTTTCACGAACTTTATAAGGCATATCCCACACTCTGAGCCTAAACTGAAAATTAAATCTACTCCGTATTAGATAGCAGCATTGAGAAAATACCAGCATTGTTCTTAATTATAACATTCCTCACATTAGGAGGTGAATAGACAAGACTTACCACTTCCGGATCTTACCGAGAACATGGTCATAAATGGGAATGCTCGAAGGTCTAGGATTAGAGAAATCGGGTAGACCTTTAGGCCCGAGTTTCTAGTTTATGTTGGTGTTTTACTATGCCTTAGTCTTTAGCTTGTACATGTGTGTTTTCTGTGCTTTGGATCTAGTTGCTAGAGTCGGTATGTGTGCTTATTTTGTCTATAGGACTCTATACTCATACTTTGTTCGTGCCACGGTGGTTTCTTTGTCTTTGCTTCTATGTCTCAACTAGAGTCTCTTGGAAACCAGTGTAAGAGCTTGTTATCTTCAAATTATTCTTATTACTTATTACATATTCTTATTGGAATCAGATCAGATCAGAAACATGTTTAATTATAATTACAATCAGATCTGAACTTATTCCAATCAAATCAGGCGAAGAGAACAAGCTCTAAGTGGAGGAAAGGTCTGGTTTTGGGGTAGTTATACTAAATTTAAACTGCCAATTACTTCAAAACACATTCAAATCCATGCAAAAAAAGTGTCAAGTTTCAAGCCGATTGCCTTCAAGTCAGTGTCACCACTTCCTAAAGAAAGCATAACGAGATGAAATTACAAAACCGCCATCATGATAGTTGTAAGAGTCATGCTCAGATTGATGTTATGAAGAACATAAACACATTATTTCTCTTATGCAGTAAACTCTGATATGTACTTTTTAAGTGAGAATTAAGCTGATTAATTACTATTCACAAATCGCAGATATGATCTAAGTGGAGCAATGATCGTAATTAGCAGTGTTTACCAGATTTCCTGCATTGAAAATGAATCAAACATCAAATAGTATAACAGTTGCACATTGATTCCGATGAGAAGTAGAAATCGGGGGAGAGGTTTAGATATATAGAATACCTCAGAGGAAGAAGAATATTCCGGCGGGCAGCGGCGTTGCGTCAGCGGCACGGCTTCAACTCTTTACTGTGACCACTCTCGCTCGAGTCAAATGATTCCCCCCTCTTGTAATTTCGAATTTGGAATCTCTAGTCTTATTTTCTTACTTATTCAATAAAATAATTGAATCATGTGACTGTAGAATTTTTAATATTATTTTTAAATATATAATTTTATTTTTTTAATTTCATCTTAATTCTCAAATAAATTGTATTAAAAATAATTTCAGTCAATCGTTAATTGAAACAAACGATTTAAAACAGAATGGAAAGAGTAATAAATTTTTTACGAAGTATGATACTCTCTCCTTCCTCACGCCCCTTCAAGTGGAGAATTAATTCCAAGACAATGTCGGTGACAATAAAGTGAGAATTAATTCCAAGACAGTATCGGTGACAATAAAGTATTCCGGATCAGTGCTGTTAGAAAGAATTCATAATCAAACGATAGATGACAAAAGTCAGATCTACCTCATTATGTCAGAACCACTTTCACAGATTGAGAATGATTTTTTAAGATTCGGAATTGACCCAATTAAAGGGAGTGTTGCCCCTCTTCCCGTCACGCACTTCAAGGGCATTGCCCTTCTCTCCCTTTTTCTTTTTTTTAACCAATCAAAATTTAACATATATTCATATCTTATTACTTTCCATCACACTCATCATAATACACATTTTTCATCAATCCATATCATATATCTTTACACTCTATCAAGCCTCATCAAGTCCCTCGTCAAGTCCGCCATAACACATCGCCTTATAGTGTTAATTTTTATTTATCATTAGATAAAAATAACATAACAAGAGAACCATTTATTTTATAATTAATTTTTTAGTAATTTTTTCTCACTAACATAGACCACATAATTTTTTCTTAAAAAGAAAGTGGAAGAAAATTTTGAATCTTAGATTTAAAAATTCTAGAAAGATAATTACGGAAACTAAAAGAAGGGTCAAAAAGTAAATAACCAAAATATTCACATTCTGTTTATACCGAGCATGTCCTTACTAAATACAGCTTCCATGTATCAAAAAAACAAAATAAAATTACACCTTCCTATAAAAAATAAAAATAAAAAACACAATTTACAACATTCTCAAGTAGCTTGCGCTCTCAAAAGTCAAAACTCACCTTTTTTCTAATAAAGCACAACTTAACCAAGGATTTTGTATGAAAAAAATTGTTCTCGAAAAAAAAAACAGGAGAAACAAGTGTCATCAAGCATTGAGTTTATTGGCAACCTTTGGTGTCAGTGGTATTAACAGGTATTTGCCACAACTTGGTGTTCTTTTTTGGATCATCTGTAAGAGAAAGATCAGTGCCATCTTCTTTGAATGTTCTGATGAATGTTTTTGCTCCCATCATGATTAGCCTTTCCACCATGAACAGCTGATAATTGTTCTCAACCACTGGATCCAAAATCTTGCTGTAGTTTGAAGCATAGGCTAGTTTGTACCTGCAATCGAATAAGAGCCGGGCCGCTGATGTTAGTTTAGGGATATAAAGTGGGTATGGCATTGCATCCGCCACACTTGCGGTGGGGTTTTTTTTTCGGGTGGTGGAGCGGGTGTGGGTAAAAGGTAGCAATTACGAGTAATGGGATTTGACCTCTTAGCTGCCATATTCGATCCTCGCCGTACTCCCACCAATAGAATGAGTATTTCTTAATTTAATTAGGAGGATATATTGTGCATAATTGTAAAATCTACATTTATGTTCTAAAAAGAACAAAAGCTATGGGCAATGTGTCCTGTAAAACGGGTATTGGCTGCCCAAGTGGGTGGTGAAGCAAAATATGGTTTTCGTTTTCTACCTAGTAACCTAGTTAAGTTGTGGCAAGCGTTGGAATTGATCCCCACCATGGGTAATGGTGTTAATGAATTCTATGGGTGAGTATGAGTAACCCTCGCAATCCGCTACATCCCTTTGACATCCCTAGATCATGTTATCGTTATACTCACTCTATCCCACAAAAAGTTTCCGCAATGGAATCAACGCGATTATTAAGCAATGTGAAATTATGTGGTAATATGAGCGCCATAAAATTTTTCAATTATAGAAAGTAGAATCTTTTTTTTTGGACAGATGAAGAAGGAGATATAGATTTTTTTCCGACAGAGGGAGTCGTTGAATGCGCTATAGGCAAATCTCCTCATTCTTGAAATGAAGGAAATGAAATGTTGAGTAGAGTCACTTGCCTTACAGCCAGAGGTGAAAAAAAACCGGGCGTTCTCTCATTAGAAGCAATGAAAAGAGTCCGACCAGATGGGACCCATTTAGCAATTCTGCACAGAATGAACTCTGGGTGTGTATCTCTGTCCAAATGAGGATGTAAGCTTCGTTCAACCCCATGCCTATCCTTCCTCGTCTTGATCTTATCTCCTCTGCGCACATGAATAGCATCATAATCCCCAATCAGTGCTTTGATCTGTAATAAATGAAGGGTGACAAATGTAGGTCAACATGAACATATCAAATTCTCTGTAATGAAAGAAAAAAGAAGCAAAACATTGGTAATCAGAATGAAATTAAGGCCACTCATTATCTCAAGTCATGAACACTGCAACTTCTCATTTTTACTGTTAGTTTATTATGTACAAGTACGACGCATTAACAACATTGATTTATAATTGCTATTGTAGTTCATGGCAGAATAAGCCTAACAGCATGAAAAGTGGCCAAAAGTAAGGCTATCCTAAATTCCTAACGGCCACATTCTATGCACGAAAAAAGAATTCTAGAATGGGTGTGAAAGAAATAAAAACATCAGGAACACACACATACACACAAGCGTCAGAGTTATTTAATAGAACCTTTGCCACATTTGGTGAAACCTGTAAAAGTATCCTACCTGAATGTTCAAGAGTTGGAGTCTTCCATTAGAGAGTGGTAAAGCTTAGTGCATGTGGAATAATATGGTGCAAAGAAATTAAAAACAAAAGGAAGCTTTTTGGTTGGAAAGGTAAGAAAATGAAACAATAATTAGAGATGTCACTTAACCCTGAAAATTATAGACCTCAGCTATATGTTAGTTTGGATTAGCTCACCCAAAGGATCCTCAAGAGACGAAGCTTTACCTCAGACTTGAGGCATGTTTGGTAGGAGGTAGGTGAAGAGAGGTAAGTATCCCTACCTTGTTAGAAGGGGGTAGCCAAGGAAGGTGGAAGTAGGGGTGGGGAGTGGGGGGTAAGCCTCCTAATAGTGGCAATTTTTGTTCTGCCAAATTGATGAACAATAGCAGTAGAAAAATAGAATGTAAAGAAGTCACTTTTGCCATTTGCCAGAGATAACAGAGCCACAGAGGAGAGAAAAAGAGCACACACATGGGGGAGGGGAAGAAAAATAATCAGAGAGTGGAAAGGAAGAAAAATAACTCCGAGATGGCCAATCTAAGATGGTTAGAAGAATCAATGATCCTAGTCGCCACTAGCTGGTGGATTAGCTGGGAAGAAGAATCACATGGAGGGAGGTGATGATGGTGAAGAATCGCAAGCAGAAAAGAGAAATTTGCAGGAGAGACTAGAGCTTGAAAAGGGTGTTTTAAAAAACTTAATATTATTATCACCTCCTAGATTGGCATTTATTATTTTTACCTCCTCACGATGCATACCTAATTTAACCTCGGCCTACCTCCTTCCAAGCACACCCTTTGATATTAGACTCATGGAAAATCAATGTAGAATACACTAAAATTTTCTGGGCAGAGTAAGAGCAAAAACAGTCACTCATGTGGGATACTCAACAATATCTATGAAACTTTCTGATAGAGTCAGAGCAAAAATAATAATAGCTGTCAATGCCTTACAAAGTGCAATCAAACTAACCTTTCCTGCGGCATCTCTTAGCTTCTTGGCGGCCATTGAAGGAAGGAAAGAAAATGACAATAGGACAGAACTACGATTGGTTCGATCCTTGCACTCCATGAACCTGAAGGTTTACCATGAATCCATGATTAATACCTACAGAAGGATAATATCGATTCAAAAGCAAATCCAGTACATCAAGATTTAGAAACAACAGTTTATGCCACGAGTACTAAGAGAGTATTAGACTATTGCATCAGTTTGTAACAAATACGAATACTCATTTAGAATATATTTCAGTCATGTATCACTTTGTTGAGTGTAACAAATTTGTAGCCACAAGTGAGACATCCCAGGTTCAAGCATATTCCCTATATGTGCCAAAAAAATTAGGATGCATTTAACAGCGCTAAATCTGAATTCAGTCAATCTTCTCTACTGTTTTGGTCTTATGTGTGTGTGTGTGTTGAGAGGGGGGGATATGGACGGAGAAATTTAATGGAGACGTTAGAGAAATCACAATCTGGCCAGTCTTCTTTCCCGTTCTGGTTTTGGTGGGGAGAAAATTTCATATACAACAGCCTACCCAGTGTAATCCCAATTCCCACAAGAGAAAACCATGATATAAATGGATAAAATTACTGGATAACTCGAACGGAATCTCAATCTGGAAAGTCAGTGTCTTCCCTTTCCTAATCTTGTAGGGACAGAGAAAAAATGCATGCATTATGGGTCTCTCTCACCTAGGTATTCTAAGGGATTAAAAGAACAATGTTAATTCTTAGCACAACTAGAATGTGGTTGGAAAATTTTAAGAAATGGAAAAGGGCATGGGTCTGAAAGAAAAGGTAATGACTTTCATACCCTTGTTGCCCCTGTCTTCATGTGCTCTCTGTGCTTGAGGTCTAGTGCTTGGGTTGGTTTGCTTTGACTATGCTTTTGTATTTTCTTGTCGGTTTACTTTGACTATGCTTGAGCTAGGGGTCTCTTGGGGGCAAGGTCTGTGTACACTTACCCTTCCCAAACCCTACTTTTTTGTGGGATTTTACTGGATTTGTTGTTCATACCCCTCATATGGGAGGGATCCGGTTCAAAGTCCAACAGTGGGAAATCAAATCAAGGGAGCACTTACCAACCACATGCTATCATTCAATTCTCGATCCACATTCCCCAAACCTCCCCATCAAGGACCCCCTTAATCATTAAGGCCATACAAATAATGATTGAAAGCACTAAAGGGAACACAAATGACTAATAACAAAAACAAACTGAGCTGGAGGGCAAGCACAAATTACCATGAAAGGGGGCTTGCAGTTCGGTTTATCAGCAAAATGTTTGAGTATAAACTATTTTCTTTAAGTTCAGCCCGGCTAACATCTCTCACATTAGCGATCCCTCTGGAACCTAATTTCATACTTGTGGCAAGAACCTGATGCCACATTTTTGAGTTGTCCAGAATAGCAGGAACTGTGTCTGATATGAGCTCCAAATCATACAGAGAATCCATGGCACAAGAACTAGCTGCCCACCTAGCAAACCACAAGCTATCATTCCTTTGCATTTTCCAAGTGAAACCCAAACACAAGAACATAAAATTTATTTTGCCTAGCACGTTCCGGGCTCCAAAAGGAACCTCTCAGATTCTGGATGTGGGCTATAGGAAAACAAATTTTCGTAAAATATTGAATGAAAAATCGCTAGTTGAAACACAAACAAAGCTCACCCTTCTTCCTCGGAAGTTGCATGCTCGGATTGATGAAGAATCCCTTTCTTGTTGTGTATTGGATTGATGCACATCCTAGAAGGCATTACAAACGTTCTGCAACAGGAAAAAAAGAGATGGGCAATTAAACCCTCTTTGGATGTAAAACATCCCCCAACATTGCATCGAAATTTTCATAATAACCAAACAGAAATCTTTGGGAATATTGAATAGCCTGCACAATCTCAGAAATAGAACACCAACAAGATTTAGTCCAGATCCCAAAATCACAATAAAAACAAAATTTCTCATGTCTCAACCAATATGCCAATATTTTAACTTAATGCAGATACTATAAGTCCCTAACCTAATTATGCCTCCTCAAAATATTTAAGTGTGACATTTGTGGAATCCAATGTATAAATGAGCAATACGAAGCACTCAAAAAGCAAATGCGTGGCTACACATCAACAAACATGTATCTCATCTCATCAGTATAAGAGATTATGAATCACAGCTCAAAATATTTCAAAAAAATTACAAATAAAATAAAATCCAGAATCATAATTTTGTTACCCAAAGAGAGAAATTACTACTGTACCTATGAAGGAAGATGGCTTCTTCAAGGGCGCACCGGAGGCTGGATTCTTGGTGACCTAGCCCCGCACAGGAGTCGCAATGCTTCCCAGGGCAGTCGATTCTGCTCCCCCAGTAGAGGAATTTGTCAGGCCCTTTCTGCGGTCTGGTCCTGGAGTGAACCACTATGAGGTCCCTTATGGTTTTGGGGGTGGAAATGGAGAAGCGGTCAGTGGAGAAAAAGGAAGAGTAGAGGAACAAGAAAGCAATGGCGGCGATGGACAACGTGAGTGTGAGGATTGATCTCGATTTCGGCTTCGCTCTTTGGCCTCTGGAGATCGCCATGATTTGCAGATGCCTGGAGCAAAGAAGAAGAGAAGAAGAACAGAGGTAGGCCTTTTTTCAATGGGAATGGATTTTTTTTTTGTAGTTGGATATCCTCTCTAATCCATGCTAGTATTTGCAAGTACTCCACCTTAAAAATCACTTCAATTTGTTTTCAAAAGAAAATCACTTTAATTTTCTTGAATTTAATTAAAACCTTGAAATGTTAAGAAGTTCAAATTTGTTTGGTAGGTAATACATATTTTGATTCTTTTTTTTTAAATATGATAAATGTAATTTAAATTTTGAAAGAGCCAAAATATAAAGTTTGGTTTGAATTTTTTAGTACTAATAATTTTATTATAATTACTCCCTCTGTCCCAAATTATTTGTCACATTTGCTTTTTCAACAGTGCGGGAACTTTTATTTATTTCTACGTTTTCATTGGTTATTTGATAAAATAAAATATTCTTGACATCTTTTATTTCAAAGAACTTTTCATGTAGTTTTTTGGTATGTAATTTTTATTTTTTATTTCTTTACCAATATGTAAATAAAATGAATTGAAAAAAACTTGATATTTTGTCTCGGTAATAGAAATATGACAAATAATTTGAAACGAAGGAAGTATAATATTTGCCCAACCACCCCATTTACTACTCAACCTAAGTACATTTACCTCATTCCATACATTACATTTTCATGTATTGTGCTATAATATATATTAAGTATGTTACAGACACACAAACAACAATTGTCTATACACGCATGTAACACACTTCATGTACAAGTTACGTACACCAAATGTTGTACTCTAATAAGTCTTTTCTTTTTTTCATATGTTTCCATAATTTTCTACATCATTCTTACTTCTCAAAATATTGTCTTCTCTCCTCACTCTTTTCTCTATTTTTTGTTAGACTACGGATGTCCCGAAACCGCCTTTGACAAAATCTGACTAATTCTAATCGACTGGGTTTGCAGATTAAGGGCGAAGGTCTCCCATTCGGTGGTGAGATTTTAAAAATAAAGAGGACAAAAAATGAATTGTTATTTTCCTTCATTGCTATTGATTTGAAATCCGTGGAAAATAGGAATGAAATATCTACTTAGTAACATTACATTTAAAAAAATATTAAGTACTTGCTATGATGATGTTGTAGGGGAGTGACTTCACACACCCCCAAACATTATTCTCTCGATTTCCTAATTTAATTGCTTTGTTTAAAAAAAACATTACATTTAAAAAAACATTACATATAAAGAAATTACCTAAATAAGAAGGAAAAAAGTACCAAAATAAGAGTCACATGTTTTTATCTCCAAAATAGACACTGTAAATGCATTTTAAATCTTACTTGTAAATAAAAACATGTAACTCTTATTTTGATATATTTTAATGTTTTACTCATGCTTTATATTACTCTTTTTCCTTGCATGTATACCCTTTATTTAAGTATTGGGTCTATTACTTGATATTATTATTTTTTAAGTCAAACAGTCATGTAACATTACTTTAAAAGAACAACAACAAAGTCATGAGGGATAGCATCCCAAAAACCAAGAGACTCAACATGTCTCGCAAGAGTATGAGCAACAACATATGGATAGACGTTCTGCAATATTAGTAGGGGTCATACCCACGTCTAATTCCTTCGAACAATGGATAGATGTTGTATGATGAGACAGACAAACGTCGTAAATTGCAATGATGGTGGTGGTTCTTTGTGAGATTTGGAACAACTAGAATCAACTTGTATAGAAAAATAAACTCATGTGACCATCCACATTGGCATCGAAAGCATCGCGATGGTGCAAGCGTTGGCTAGAAGCAAATAAGGTTGTCTAAGGCGACATGGGATATCAAACGGGACGATCAACCACATGGAAATTAAACCATTGGACATGGTGATAAGTTTGTATATGTGCACATTTCATTATCTTTTAAGAGGCTTATTGATTTATATTTTAATATTATTTGGAACTTAATTGTTTGTTTATCATGAAAAGAGTGCTTTTACACTAACTTGTGATTATTGAAGGATTTTAGGGTCCATGTACAATTGAAAGGGCCACATTGCAAGAAAATTCGAAATCATGGGGTCAATCTGAGATTTTCAAAAGTAGTCTCCTCCCTAATTGAAATCCAATTCAATTGTGAACCAATTTTAGTTATTTTACACAGGGGGATGACTTCTTCAACGGGGATGCTGCGCGATCCAACTCGCGACCCGACCTGGGTCACTCATTCTGCGCAGCAACGTGGACCAACATCCTCCATCTGCAGCCAGCCTTCGTCCAATAAATTTTAAATTTTAAATTGAAAATTCAAAATTTAAAACTTAAAACATAAAATAAAAAATTTAAAACTTAAAATTTAAAATAAAATTTTGAATTTCAAATTTCAAATTAAAATTTTAAATTCAAAAGTTCTGACTTTAAAGTCAAAAGTTTCGACTTTATACTTACGAGGTGCAATTGACGTAGGTGGGGTGATTAGTTTGGGTCGGGACTTGGCGGGCCGCAGGGGGATTTACCGGGGGGTTAGAGGGGTAGGAATCATCAATTTTATGAACGGAGCTCCGTAGGAGGGCAGTGGCTTCCGTGGCCACTGGAATCCAGTGGTCATGGAACCGGGCTCATATTGTAAAAGTATTATACTCCCTCCGTCCTGAAATGTTCTTCCCACTTACTATTCATACGGTCAAACTTTAATCACTTTCTTTACATATTTTCATTAGGTATTTGATAAAATAATATATTCTTGTCACCACTTGTTTTGTAGAACTTTTGATGTAGTTTTTAAATATATAAATTTTATTTTTTAATTTTACACCTACAATCAAATAAATTAAATTAAAAATAAAGTCGGTCAAACTTCGTAAACATAACTGGGAAGAACATTATAGGACGGAGGGAGTAAGTAATACTCTGTAAGAAATACTCTATATGTCCTAAAAATATTTTCTGGGTTTCTATTTTATTCTCCCTATAATATATTTGTTTATGTGTGTATTTTCTTTGATTATTTGACAAAATAATTTTTATTTCTATGCAAATTTGTAAATAAAAAAATTTTAAAATAAATACTTCTTTTCTCTCAGTGTATTTGTATAGTTTAATTTTTTTAGTCAAATTGGACCAACTTTAATAATCAATTACTCTCAATTTGTATGACATATTAATACATCAAATTCAAATTTTGAAAGTTCTAAATGAGTTCAATCGAATTAAATAATCCTTATATTAATCTACATCATTGTTTCTATTTAATTTAACTTCAAAGTTTATCATGGGTAAAGTGCCCGCATTGATAACTCAACTGGTCCAAAGAGAGGATGTCGAGTCCATTGATCCTAGAGTCAATTTCTGACGGCGACAATGAGAGGGTTCTATTCATTGTAATAGTTCCTTATGTGTACCGGCACATGCCGACTTCTTTAAGGACCAGATTGAGATTATACTATAATTTACTTCCTTCACAATTCTGTCGGACCAAAGTGAGGGTCGGGGTAAAGGTAAGTGTATGGGTGAATAAATTTGAGTAGGCAAATTTATGCAAATGAATGAGGTGCAGGAACACACAAAAGTTCGATGGGGTTATTACACTTCCAAAAATGTTAGGTCCGAAAGCAACAAATGCACGTTAATTGTGTTTTGTTAATGCCCTCCTCCCTCTGAACACATGGGGGCTTTCGTGTCATTTTGTTCATAAACATCTTTTCCCCATATTCAATTCCCCTGTCCACAAAATTACTGTGTCCTGCGGATTTGCCGGAGCCTCCACAGGGACTGCCCAAGCCATTTACTGCCATCCGCACTATACCAGTACACCCTAGTATTTCTTGAGTAATTGTCTATTATCCTTTGGTCTTCAATTTGATTTCAAATTGCGGGTTACGGAGTGAAATTTTCTATTTTTTGAAACCATTTTATTTACAAATTGGTTTATCAATAGGATATAAAAATTATATACGAGTATTAAAAAACTACGTCAAAAGTTTTACAAAACAAGAGGTGACAAAAATATTTTATTTTATCAAATACATAATGAAATAGCGTAAACAAACAAAAATTATCGAGAGAAGAGTAAAAAAATTGTAATCTTATTTAGGGACGGAGAGAGTATGTATTTCCTATTTCTCAGAATCTCGAATACGCTTTCATCCCGATTTAGAATTCTTGATTTGTTTTTTAAGACATTAAAAAATAAGATGTGTCGTTAAGATTTATACAGATGAAAGATATTTAATGTAGATCATTCATTTCATTTCTTAAAAAGAATGTAGGGAGTAATTTTTATTTATGTTGGAGTTTTTGCATCGAAAAAATAAAGAAGAATACCACTAGCATAAGTATAAGGGTGAAGCTACACCTTTTAGCTTAAGTTTTTGAATTAGAATAGTGAATCCCAACTTTATATGTAAGTGATTAATTTTATCCGCCACTCTACCCGTTGTTCTCGACCCGTTGGAATTTTAACAATTTACGACACGGAAAAAGGAATTGAAAAGTTTATTTAGACAAGGGGAAATATGACTTTATAAGTACGGAGTATATGTTAAGGTCATGTTCTCTTCATCTAATTAATTATTACTTTTTTATTCGATTCAAATCAGATCAGAAACAGTTTTAAATAAAACTACAATCAGATCCGACCAGATCAAATCAAAATCTATTTCTCTAATAAATTACATTGAAAATAATTTTAGTTAAACATCATAAATCGAAACAAGTGATTTTAAATTGAGACGGAAGAAGTACATTTCTTTACTTTTCTACTTCTTCCGACCAAATCAAGTTATATGTTTACTATTAACACTTAACAACGGCAAATTATATTCACTTTATTTTCTTTTGTTTGTTACTCATTTGATAAAGTAATACAATAACGTCACCTCTTATTTTGTACTACCTCCGTCTCGGAGTATTTGTTCATTTTTGAATTCTTTCAGTCAACCATTTTCAAACTTTGACCTACAATTAAATAAAATATATATTGTATATTAATTAGATAAAATAATATTTAAAAAATATTTTATATAATAAATCTAATTAAACTATTTTTGTATCAATATCTAATATCATTTTTATTTAATTTAAAGTCAAAATTTACTAATTTTGACCGAAAAATAAAAAATGAACAAATACTTTAGGAAGAAGGGAGTAGAACTTTTAATGTTTTTTAATTTATAAACTTTATTTTTTAATTTCGTTCAAATTCTCAAATAAATTGTATTGAAAATAAATTCAGTCAAACATCATAAACTGAAACATGCAGTTTAAATTAGAGAAATGTAGTAATAAAAATAAAAAACATGTTATTGCATTTTTTTCTCACTTACATATAAATTTGAGAAATATTAGATTCACAAACAAAATAGTCACAAAATTTACAAACATACTCCAATAAAAAAATTTGAATAGTGTAAAATAATTTTAAAATGAAAATTTAAATCTTAATGATAAATTTGTGAATTTTGTGATTATTCTGCTTGGGAACGTAACATTTCTCTATAAATTTTAACCACTTCTCTCTAAATTACATAAAGTCAAACTATCTCACTTAATTGAAGAGGAGAGTATTTAAGAAGAGTAGCCAAGAGATAGATATGGGTCAACTTATCCACCCAAGACGAAAAGTTTGATATCAAGTAGGTTCAGATTATACTCTTATTTTTACGTTTACATTGATTATTTGATAAAACAAAATATTCTTGACACCTCTTATTTTGAAGAAATTTTCATGTAGTTTTTGATATGTAAATTTTATCTTTTATTTCCATACCAATATGTAAATAAAATAAATTAAAAAAACTTGATATTTTGTTTCAGAAATACAAATGTGACAAATATTTAGAGACGGAGGAAATAAAAAAGTCTAAAGTTTCAATTTTGAACAAAATAAACCGTTTAATATGGAATAACTAGATCCAACTTTAGATCCAATTTTGACAAAGTTTGAGTCTATTCCAAATTTACAAAGTACGTCCTGATTTATTTTTTTCATTCATTTTAGGATGTTAGACCAAAATTATTTTAATTTAATTTATATAAGAATTGAGATGAAATTAGAAAATAAATATTACATACTCCCTCTGTCCCAAATTATAATGCCTGTTTACTATTCACATGGTCAAACTTCATTCACTTTCTTTTTCTATTTTCGTTAGCAATTTGATAAAATAAAATATTATTATCACTACTAGTTTTGTAGATCTTTTGACGTAGTTTTTTAATATATAATTTTTATTTTTTTAATTCTATACCATTTGTCATATAAAATGGTTTGAAAATAATTTCAGTCAAACATCGTAAACCGAAACAGACGTTATAAAATGGGACAGAGGTAGTATTTAAAAACTACGTTAAAATTTGACAAAATTAGTGGTGACATAATTATATTTCATAAGATCAAATGAGAAAATTTCAAATCAAATTAGAAAAGTTCAAATAAAATCAAACAAGACCAGAGAAATTCAGACAAAATATATTCAAACCAAATCCTAATAAATTCAAGTAAAACTAAAAAAACTACTCCATCCGTCCCAAATTATTTGCCACATTTACTTTTTTAACAATCGCGAAAACTTTTATTCATTTCTACGTTTTCATTAGTTATTTGATAAAATAAAATATTCTTGACACCTCTTATTTCGAAGAACTTTTCATGTAGTTTTTTTATATGTAATTTTTTTTATTTCTTTACCAATATGTAAATAAAATGATTTGAAAACACTTGATATTTTGCTTCGGTAATAGAAATGTGACAAATAATTTGAGAGGGAGAGAGTATATATATAGTTCAGCCCAAAGAGAGGGGACCAGGAGAGGACGATTCTTGTTCCCTAGTTCCCAACACTGGACCCTCCATTCCTACGTCTAACTAAAACCTTAAAAAACACCATTTTGGCATTTGTTTATTTGAATGCCAATTTAATTACTAACATTTGTAATTACAATTAAAGCTTAATTACACTATAATTGACTTTCTAATTGCAATTTAACATGTCTACTCATTTCTCTTTATTAGACCTGCTACAAATTACCACTGTTCTACTAAGCTAGTAAAAAATGCACATAGCACAAAAATGGAGTTCCAGTCCACTAAAAAGATAAAAAAAAAATTAATATTTTTTTACTCAACTTTGGAACCTCGTTTTCGTGCTATGTGCATCGGCACTAAGAGAGACACAAGAAGAGCTCAAATCTTAAGTAGACAAAAGCAACCATGACTTTCTTCATTTGTTTGTTAATTGTTTCTTTGGGGGNAAAAAAAACAAAAGTCACCTCTTTGTGTTAGGTGTGTGAGTGGACTTTTTAACAGCTTTTTAGAGCATCAGAGACCCAAAAAGATGTAGTAGACCAGAGTTATGGGCAGAGCAATTAGCATCCCAAATATAACCCTGCAATGCAGAAGAGACCATTGAATTTAGGCTTAGCCCTCACCAGTCATTAGTCAACGATAATGGTCATTAAGCCAATAAGTTTGTTTTTGTTTCTTGCAGGTTGAATAATCACAAGTGTTTAAGGAGCGTATTCATTGGAATGATTCTTACCCGGTGCTCAATATATCGGGATGGACATTGTATTCCTTTGCAAACACGAAAGGCACGATTCCTTGGGGAAGGGCAGCCTTGAAAATGAGAGAGAGAAAACTAAGCTTAAAAACGTGTTCTGAACAAAACGCGTAAAGGAGAAAAAAAACAAGAAAAATGGGATTGTTGTACCTGGACAATGGCGACGTGAAGCAGGACACCTCGAAGGCCAACGACAATGGAGGAAGCAGCCATGACTGCAGGACCAATAAGAAACCTAACACCCATGGAGAATGCAGCTATTTTCTTCCCACAGGCAATGATTCTAGGTTGCAATGCCATGAACAAACCTGCAGATCCCAAGCACCACACTCTTTGAAAGTTTAAATTTAAACAGATGTATCATATGATTCATTTCCCTTTTTTTATAAAACAAATCTTAATGTTACTCCGTGTTAATCTTATATATTTTTGGGAAAAAATTGAACACTATCTAAGGGTATGTTTAGAATGCATAAATGAGAAGGACATGGGAAAAATGCTAGAAAAGTTAGCTTTCAAAGTTTGGTTTCCCCTTGGAAAAAGCCAAGCACAGTCAAATGTGATTAATTCTTTAACTTTTACATATAATAAGGTTCTTTCCTCTTTAAATAATATAAAAAACAGATACGGAGTAAATAGAATGGGTTTGTAAGCATATAAAAAAATGGTTTCTGGAGTTTGAAGGCCCTAGTTGTGCAAGGGAACATACCAAGGCTGAACATTGCCATTCCAAGGCCAGCATCAGATAGAATGGATATTGATTTAGCTATAATAGCCGGCATCTCAACGTGCCACCTACAAGAATTTGACATGATTATGAAATATCAAACCTGCTTAAATGAAAAATGGCATCAAGAATGTTATTAGTAGGTGTGTTTTGCGTACTTGAACGAAACCAAAGACCAAGTGAGGCCAATGAGACTGGAGTATGTGTTTGGGTTTCTGATAAGTTTTCGCCACACCATGATAAGAATGAGTCTGGTCATGACACTTGTAGGAGGCATGTGAGGAGGCTTGGTGGTTTCATCTGTTGTCTTGGGCCGGAGCTCAGTTGTGGAGCGGCTTGAACCTAGCTTTGACAGAACTGGCCCTTCTCGGCGCTCATTTCCACTCTGTCTGTTATCAAAACTGAACTCATCCCGGCCAAAGTCGTCATAATCTAAAAAAACAAACACTCCCAAAGTGATAGGGAGTAATTTTATAATTTGATCACTAAGAACACCAACAAAATGCCTCTAAATAAGTAAAACAAACAATGGGATGTTAGTATTTATAGCACTAATAGCAATCTCCAAATCAAACACTAAAACAATGCATCATAGGGAAAGACAGATATGACCATAATTTCAGAGACCATTTGGTGAAACGCAATTTAGAAACCTATACAAGAATAAATTTGATATGAATATAAGGAAGTAGAAATTAAATCAACAGCTATAAATCACCAAAGAACTTAAGAAAGCTCCAAGCTAACAACATAGATCAACTTCATGATACTGAAAATTTAAGTATATAATCAAGAAATGATTCATTATTAAATACTCAGGAGATAGGAAGAAGAAACCTTTAGGGTGAGGTCCAACCCCAATAATTTCTTGATTATAGTCACCTCCCTTGAAGACATGAATCCCCCCTTCAGACACTGGTGAAGCACTTGAGCTCCAAACAAACATGTGAAGATCTTTGCCCCCGCCGCCCTCAGTCCCATTAGCCTTCTTCTTAGCACCCGAACCCGTCGTGTGAGAGACTACTCCGGTTGCACTGTTCGGTGCAGGGTACCCTGAGGCCACATTCGCCCTCCCCCCTCCTCCTAACCCACTCTCCTCATCAAACCCCATATTGGATCTCCTTGGACTAGTATTGAGATTTGCACTCTTGTTCCCATTCAGCATTGAGTAAAAATCAGTGTGGTTAAAGCTGGACCCTCTAGGGGTAGGGTTTCTTGAGGACTGGAGGGAGTAAATCTCAGCATTGGTGAGGTTTGAAGGTCTGGGTGTCAATGAAAGACCAGAAGAGTGGGGCCCATTGGATTTTCTTGACAAAATCTCAGACCTAGAAGCTGCTGACCTCCTCACAGTCACATGGAGCTTCCCATCATCACCCACCTCAGCTTGGGTCTCCAATGGATCTTTCCCATCCAACGAGATGACATCAGAATCGACCTTGAATGAGACAATGGAAGCCGCAGTGTCAGGGAACTGCTCCGCAATGAGCAACCTAGCTCCCCTGTACTCAAACAAGAAAAGCATCAAAGTGTACCAAATAATGCACTGAAGCACCACAATCTGGACCATAAGCCCCCCAGAAAACTCCCCATACATGCCCTTCAGCAACGGAATCCCCATAACAAGGGTGTTGGGGAGAGTGGAAAGAGAGAAGAGGGTAATGGACCATTCAAGAGATCCCCTTGAGCTGGTTCTTGACCAGATGAGTAAAACCCCAAGGACAATGAGTTTCTGAAGAGCATCTGCTGCTATGAACCTGTAGTTCATAGCATAAGGGTTGTTAGTGGAGATGAAGTGAAAAGACAGAAGAGGAACGGCAAAGAGAGCCACGAATCTGTTGATCCCGGAGCACTGATCTGGGGTGAAGATCTTCCACCACTTCACCGACCCATAGGCTAACACCATGGCAACATAGAGCGGAACCACTGCTGTTAGAACATGGTAAAGGTCTGAAATTTTTATCATTTTGAAAGTAAAGAATCAAAGAAGAAAAACAAAGAAACTTGGTGTTTTCTTGTCGTCTGGTCACATGTGTGCAAAAGACTCAAACTTTTTTCGTTTTTGGGCAATGGGTTCGTACAGCAGATGCAAGAGAGGAGTGGAGGAGAATCATACCCAAAAGCCAGAAAAAATGGGGTTTGCGGAGGGATTTCGGAAAGAGGCGAAGGGGAGGTGATGTGTGTTTGGGGGAGAAGACAGAAGTGATGGGATATATTTATGTGAGAACAAAATGGCAGACATAGGAGAGTAAAAGCTAGCTAAGGTCTCTTTTGTAGCTCAATAGTCTTTTCAAATCTCTTGCGAGGGTGGGGGATAAAGAAAGGCTACAGCTACACTCTTCTCAGATGACACTCTGTTGCATTCATTTGGTTTCGTTTGATTTGGTTCGGTTGGTTCGTGACGCGGCTAGTTACACGGACCAATCGTCCACACCCTTATTCTTATGGTGCCCCTCCCCATTCACTCCTTCACTTCTTTGAGTGTCTAAGGCAGTGTTTCATTTAACTTTTTTTGTTTATTACTTATTTTTATTATATTCACACCAGATTAAATTAGATCAGACCAGATCAAATCAGAAATAGCTTTATTTATAATTGCAATCAAATCATATTTTCCAAAAATCAGATGAGACGAACGGAACGCAACCTAAGTCATTATTCTTTTCTTTTTCATTTTCCACACCAAGCTAAAACACTATCAATGTTGTCATTTTTTGTCTTGTTTTTTAAGACATTAAAATTGAAAAATTATGAAATTGAAAAAAAAATATAAATAACTTGAGCGGTGCTTCAATGCACACGGTGCAAGCCATTGCTCGCACCACAAGCATGGCGCCCGATCTGTACTGTGGTGTCGGACGCTCCCCCACGTCAGCAATCAACGACCGCCGCACGCCAGATCTCTCCAAGAGCGTGGTGATTTCCCCCATCCATTATAAATGCCCTTAGTTTCACTTTTATGCTATTCTTTTTATCTTATAGAGGACGTACATGCACAAATTTTTGGGGCAATTCACAAAGAAAAAGTTCACACAAACACTACCAAAAAATCATAATTTTACATAAATAGTTAAATACTAACAAATTCATTAATTTACGTCATTGCTTCCAAAATTGTCTCATCTTCATACTCTTACTCTAAGGTCATCATGTTTGTTACCAACATGACTTTGTTAATGCAATGTTGACAATTTAAGAGTGTCATTTTGTACCTTTCCATTTTAAAAAATCAAATTAACATGTCTTAATTATTTTCCTATCGTCTTCTTCACATATCTTTCTATATTTAACTTTGTATGAGTGTTTTGTCTTCGTCTAAACTTTTTGAGTCACATCTAATTTTTTTAAGGCTAATTGCATATGATATAATCTAGTCCGAGTGATTAAATATGAATGAATCTAATATTTTGAATGAATCTAATCCATATGATTATAGTGTAATTTAAAGTTATTTTTGATCTGATCTGATTAAATTATTTGCTCGACATTAAAAGAATAACACACATGATAACTACGTAGTGCTGTGTAACAATTTAATATGAGACAATTATAGGAGTAATAATGTAAATTATGGCCTGTTTGGTAATTTGGATTTGGGTTTAGTTCTGATCAGTTGGCGCTCGTACTCCTTCCATTTATAGGTATGTCAAAATCCTTAGTTTTTTCTTCTTCATTCAATTATTCGAATTTCAAAATTTAGACTTTTTGATGCTGTATGATTGCTATTTTTAAATTCATTGAGTAGTTTGCTGATATTTCATTTGTTGTACTCCCTCCGTTCTCAAAAACACTTCCTCTTTCATTTTTTCCACTTCCAACAAAACACTTCCCCCTTCTATTAGAAAACCACTTTTATCCTTACTTTTTCATACCCTACCTATCACATCATACTTTTTCTCTAATAATCTATCCATCACATCTTACTTTTATCCATCACATCAGGAGCAAAATTGGAAATCAACTATAATTTAATACTTTCTTATTTTTGCCCCCAAATCAAATGGGAAGGATTTTTCCAAACGGAGGGAGTATAACTTTTGATAAGTCTTGATTTTATCTTTTACGCTTGATTCAAAATTGATTTTTTTAATGCCCACTAAAAGTTTTTTATTTTTTTTGCACAGTAAGCACACACTTCATTACTAAAAGCCAAATGGCCAACAGAATTACAAGGAAATATAATCATCTACCCATATCTATAATTGTATTACACCACTTTCATACAACTAAGATAACTTCTAATATACTGTATTGTTTGCCTGCTAATCTCTTCATCCTTTTTCTTGATTTGGTGTCTTTTCTCATTCCTCCATTTCCAAATATGGTATATGCATGATGCCCAAAGTTCTAGTCATATTCTCCTTGGATTACCTCCCCTTATTTTCTGGATTTCCTCCCCAAAATTCTCCTTGGAGCTGGCATTCATGTGTAGATGGAATTCCCCCATTACAGCTTTATACAATGGTTGTACAGCTTCACAATCCCAGAAAAGATGATGCAAAGTTTCTACCTCTTTTTCACACAACTCACACTTATCATCAATGTTCAAGAACTTGCCAATTCTGTCCTTAGTTTGTAATCTTCCCCTCTAGAAAAGCCAGAATATAAATCTGAACTTGGGTGGGGTAAGGTTATTCCATGCCCAATCCCTCCACACTGGTTTACTTTTATCACCTTGCACCCATCTGTACCCATTTCTAACACTGTAATTCCCTTCTGGCATATCAGCAAATTTGTTTATAACCCTCATCATTTCTTTCCAATAGTGGCATGAATCAGGCTTTGGCCTGTAATCCCAGAAATCCCATCCCTTAATGTACCTTGCATGGATCCATTTCACCTAGAGGATATCTTTTTTCCCTGCAATATCCCAATTTAGCTTCATAATGGTAGCTATATTCCATTTCACCACATTTTTGATCCCCAGTCCACCATGTTTCTTCATTTGACAGACCTCGTCCCATTAAACCAGTGAAACCCTCTTATATTCAGGAGTGTCCCCCATAAAAAATTCCTACAGACTACCATAATCTTCTTCATTATTCCTTTTGGGGAGAATGAAGATTCTAGACCAAAAATAGACCACCCCCATCAGAATTCAATTAATAAGTCTTATTCTAGCCATATATGAAAAGTGTCTGGAGCCCCATGCAATAATTCTGGTGGAAAGCTTGTCTAATAGGGCATCACATTCATGTACTTTCATTCTAGCACTAGTGATGGGGGATCCCAGATATGTGAAAGGGAACTGACCTAGCTTCATATCCTCCATCCTCAGCATCTCCTTCTCTGTGTCTTGATTTATCCCTCCAAAAACATTCTCAGATTTGTTTTTGTTTATCTTCAGACCAGTGGTTCTTTGGAACTTCTCCAGAACTTTCATGATACAATTAATAGATTTAGTATCTGCCCTGCATACTACAATGAAGTCATCAGAAAAGTACAAATTAATGATATTCATTCTAGCACATAAGGGGTGGAAAGAGAAAGTGTCTTTTTGTGCAGCCTCTTTAAAACACCTTGTGAGGTATTCCATTCCTAACACAAAGATCAGGGTGAAATTGGGTCTCCTTGTCTCAACCCCTTCCCTCCTCTGAAGTATCCATGGTACTCACCATTAACTTTTATTCACCATTTGCTAAGAGTTTCAGTTCTATAATAAAAAAACTTTTAGTTTTTTATTATAGAACCGAAACTCTTAGCAAATGGTGAGTATGTTTGAAAATAGCGTTAGCATTTTAAAAAGGATATCTACAGGCAGCGTTTAACATTAGCGTTTTCAAAGTAATCTGCACCGTTAAAATTTTATTCAAAATGTTAACGCTATTCTCAAATAGGCCGCCCGGTGTAGGCATAGTTCCTTTATGGGACATAAGAAACTATAGTGTGTTAAGACACAATTTTAATTGCACACCACTAATAAACATTTAAGAGTGATATATCAAGAGTCCATTCTTCCCTATGTTCACTAGTGTAAAAAAGAGGCAGTATTAATGTTTGCTTCTTTCATGTTTTCCTAAGTATCGGAACACAATAAAGTTAAAAATACATATTTCGCTAACATAATAACAAGAAATAAAAAATGAAGGCACTCGATCATGTGAAATTGAAAATATTTATGTAAAATCATAAAGTTTTAGGGATACTCGTGTTGAAATTTTAAGCGCGTAAGATATCGAAAAATATTGAGAACACTAGAAAAATGAGAGAACAAACACAAGAAGAATATATATGAGAGAAAAATTATATTTCCACTATTTCAGGACAATATACAAAAAATTCTCTCCTGTTTACAAGGCTGAATTCCCGACACTCATAAACAGATCTTTCCACAGCCTATGCCCGGATGTATTTCTCCGAGTAACTAAAACCAATTACTCTCTACACTCACCCACACTCACCAAGACCCCTTGGATTTTCGCGGTGGTATTCTTGTGTAGAATTCCTCCCATATTTCTCTCTCTACCTTGGTGGTGTGTAAAACCCACACGCTTAGCTAGGCAATGTGAACTCTTTTATAGTCAAATATCTCCACACATCACATGCATCATCACTAAGATACAAGAGAGAACACATCCTCTCACATGCATTAGTGCGTATGCATGTTCCTTTTTTTTCTTTTCTTTGCTACTGTTNATGAGAGAAAAATTATATTTCCACTATTTCAGGACAATATACAAAAAATTCTCTCCTGTTTACAAGGCTGAATTCCCGACACTCATAAACAGATCTTTCCACAGCCTATGCCCGGATGTATTTCTCCGAGTAACTAAAACCAATTACTCTCTACACTCACCCACACTCACCAAGACCCCTTGGATTTTCGCGGTGGTATTCTTGTGTAGAATTCCTCCCATATTTCTCTCTCTACCTTGGTGGTGTGTAAAACCCACACGCTTAGCTAGGCAATGTGAACTCTTTTATAGTCAAATATCTCCACACATCACATGCATCATCACTAAGATACAAGAGAGAACACATCCTCTCACATGCATTAGTGCGTATGCATGTTCCTTTTTTTTCTTTTCTTTGCTACTGTTTTTTTACTTCTTTTTTTATTTTTCTTTTGTTTCTTTTTGAATATTTAATCAATATTTTACAACAAGCTCCACCTTGATTAAATAATCAAAAAACTTTGTAGCTCCACTTTACTTCTCCAGTGAGATCACCGCTACTCTGAAAGAAAAAAAAAATCATTAGCCCCATCTCGGTCTGCTCCACTGAGATCACCGCTACCAACCTCTCAAAAAAAATCATCGTGGCTCCACATTGGTCAAACCACCAAGATCACTACCACCTTAAAAAAAATTTCATGACCATATCTTGCTCAATACCGCAAGCTCTCCGCCACCATGTATTGACTCATGGTCGTGGCCTCACCTTGCTCAATACTACAAGGTCCTCACCATTTTCAGTTATCGTTGTACCCGTGGCTCCATCTCAACCAACCCGTCAAGATCACCGCCACTACCTTAGCTCCTTAGAGTTTTAACCCTCCACCCCGAGCTAAAAAAATGACAACTCACCTTTGTTAACACTCTCTAAGACCACCCATCTAGCAATTAGCTTATTTCGATCCGCCCATCTTGCACCGCCGCAGCAACACCTGCGGGACACGCCGCCAGACCTCTTCTTGCCGAGAAGATTTTCGACACAAGATATAAATAGCAGTTTCCACTCAGCTAGACCACCGGTCTCCTCAAGTCCTGTTCATGCATCATACTTCACAAAGCTAGCATGACGCTTCGTACCCGGACCCTGTGTCATCCACTTTGTTCCTAAAGTCCCATGTTCACCTTCTAGCCAAAATCGACCAGTCCATGGGTTCTAAAATTTCTCCTTTTACCGCTTACAAATCCTTCCTGCCCAGAGCAACCAAGCTCCAATACCAATTGTTGGGATTTTAAGCGCGTAAAATACCGAAAAATATTGAGAACACCAGAAAAATGAGAGAACAAACACAAAAAGAATATATGAGAGAAAAATTATATTTCCACTATTTCAGGACAATATACAAAAAACTCTCCCCTGTTTACAAGGCTAAATTCCCGGCACTCATAAACAGATCTTTCCACAGCCTATGCCCGGATGTATTTCTCCGAGTAACTAAAACCAATTACTCTCTACACTCACCCACACTCACCAAGACCCCTTGGATTTTCGCGGTGGTATTCTTGTGTAGAATTCCTCCCATATTTCTCTCTCTACCTTGGTGGTGTGTAAAACCCACACGCTTAGCTAGGCAATGTGAACTCTTTTATAGTCAAATATCTCCACACATCACATGCATCATAACTAAGATACAAGAGAGAACACGTCCTCTCACATGTATTAGTGCGTATGCATGTTCCTTTTTT